CCTAAATTTCATCCATCTGATTGGAGTTTGGCGTGATGCCTGCTCGGCCATCTGACTTATCGGCACTGGCATTGGAAGATGTGCTCGCCTGTGCACTCCCCGAGTGGCGAATTGCTCTGGCCAAACTGTTTGTCAGTACCGAATATGGGTTGGAGAGGTGATTGCACTTGCACTTATCAACCATGAACCATGATTAAAGCAACAGGAAGCTCTTGCGATTGTGACCCCTCGCGAGAATTTCGACCTCATTAGTTCAGGACGATTATCAGAAGCTTAAAGGACTTAAGTGGTTAAGTTGTCAAAATAGCTCGCTGGCAATCGATAAACGGGATCTAACTGTCCTCGTATGCAAACGAGCGTTCTATCAGAATGCCGCACAGTACGTAGCTTCGGAGTAGATTCGAACTCCCACTATAGATTAGTCGTTTCAGTCATCACGGATGAACCCCTAAGCAGCTGACATTTACGAAGGTGCCCAGTTTTCACACTTTCGGTTTATTTTTTAAGGCTGATTGTTATGACAGCGAAGACACCTTCGACTAATATAGAAACCAGGTACGATGATAGCAGATAATACCAAAACCCACTGCTATGAAAATATAATACAAAAAAGTCCGTGCCTTGTGCAGTCAGCAGAAATTCTCCTTGAAAATAATTGGTCAACGCAAATGATTTAAAGTTCCAAGATCAGAAGGTTCAGATTGGAAGTCTAAAATAAACGTTCGTTCTATCATCTAGCTGACCGATAAGTTATATTACAATAAAGATAGTAGGTTTGCCCCCTCCACGGCAGATTTACCTGCAAGATAACTGGCCGTCTAAAAGGATCAGGAACCTCTCCCAGACCTCCTTCTAGACACTTGTTTAGAGTGCTAAATAAGACAAGATATTTGTGGATGGATGCTCACTGAACGGTTACGGAACTCGTTTCGTTCTGCTTTGAGGCTAATTCCAGAGATTCGCCAGCAGCCACACAGCGGCTAGTATTATTGCTAGTGGAAAATTACAGAAAAAGAAAAGGGAGACTGGAATAGCCATTTCTGGCTTATTAACCATCATCAGCCAGACATAGCGAATCTCAAGTGGTTCACCATCCGAGGTTTGAAGTTAACTCCTGCGTCATTTAACGAAAAAATCATCTGCACCAGTCCATTCTAACCAGTAATTAGGAATACTTGCCTTTTACCACGAAGAACACAGAAAACGTGCATCCACGTGGCATTAACACTAATCAATCGGGTAAAACTAAAGTCCGTAGTATGTTCGTTCACTTATGTATCCGGGCTCAGATTAAGGCTTCACAGATAGCTCCATAAAGAATGCAATGTGGGAAGTCGAACCACAGTCCCCCAGCATACGAGTCTGGTGCATATCACTTGAGCTTGGCGCCTGTCAGATATACAAATTCATGGATATCCCCATCTGACTTGCCAAACATTACAGGGCTAATTCATTTGTATAAGATGTAACAGTTCGTATATTTTCCTGATGCATTAGCTCGAACTGAGCATCAGCTTCAGCGCTCTTAACAAAGACATGACTCAGTATTGAAACTTCATAATGACTCAAAAAATGGTAGTTAGTGGTATGACACCTGGTCTAAATAGGTTGCCTCAAGAAATAGGTGGAGACAGACGCGCAGTTAGCCTTACAATTTTCGAAAGAAACGTGAACTTACCGCTCCAGTTCGTTGCGAATCTGTGAAAGGGAGACGGGTT